TCAATCTACATGTATGTGAAATCCAGATAGCCAAGTGTACAGCCGACAGTGACAGCATTTCTGTGATGAGTGTCCTTTTCAGTCAGCACATTTATCTCAGTGTGTTTCGAGCTTTCCTATTAAGGAGTCTGTCCTCGTCTCCTTGGCCACACTGCTTCGGTTTCAGGTTTAATTCTGTCTTCCTCATCACACCACATCTGTGTGTCTGTGAAGCATGTCCCATGTTACGACCAGCACACACACATTGGCTGAATGATTAAATGAAGGTGGTTGTCATCACATCCACTCAGTAGATGAAGAAAGGGAAGCACACTTACTGAGTGAACTGCCCGGGGTCATGGTGGCATAGAGTGTTACTCGTTGGGCTGCTAATTACAAGGTCAGCAGTTTGAACCCACCAGCCACGACATGGGAGAAAAATGAGGCTCTCTGTTCTGATAAGGGCTTACAGGCTTAGAAACTCACACAGACGGTTCTGGTGTATCCTATATAGTCTTAAGTATAGTTCATCACAACTGGTCATGACTATTGATAGTAATCAGCCATCCCATGTGACGTTTGTAAAGCTCGGGTGAGAAGCCAGGCCACTTTCTGAAACCTGCCGGTGCCTTCACAGCCAGAAGGACCGAGGGGATTACGATCATTCTTGGTTGATGGTTGCCCTTCAAAATGAATTTTCAGTTTCCTATAAATCTTGTTTTACTCCGCTGACCTTTTCTTTGGGTGCCCTGGATGTGTTAGTTAAGCAGCTCTTAGAGATGGATGCTTTTATTTTGGAAACAAAATTAAATGGGGATAATAGAATCTGGTCTTTCCCCAAGTTAATGAAAAAGGCAAAGGTCTCTGTAAAGCTGCCTTCTGGGTCACGTATTGTGTCTTCTGCATATAACAGTCTTCTAAGAGAAGGAACAAAACCTCTGTGATTGGGGTCTAAGAGTAAAAGAGCCTCACTGAAGCCTTTTCCAGAGAAGGCTGCAATAGCGAACTTAAATTAGTACTGGAGGGCTAAGCAGGTGCTCTTGCTAACATTTAACTAAAGGTCAGAGCTCCTCACAGAGCCCCAGCTTTTCTTCAGCAGGCTAACCTGGCACAGAGCTATTCAATGCAAACAGGCCAACGGGGCTTATAACAGTAAATGTGACCACGTGCAAAGGGACAGCAGTACATCTGTGATGGCCAAGCCTTCCTTGACGAGGCAGGCTGCAGCTGACAGAACAGCCGTGCCTCCTGGGGCGTGTGCAGATTGTCAGTTGTGGGGGAAATCTTGATTATGAATGCACAGAACACCCCCCCTGCTTGGTCGTGAGAGAATTTGGGAGAAATAAACACTTTCCCAGGCTATGAATGCTAGATGTGAAGCAGGTGCTTCAGCAATGCATTTTTAAAATCAGTGATTCTTCTTTAATGTGGGGGAGACAACTAGCAAAAGAAGGTGAGAAGGGTGAGGCATCCACGCCTGTTACCCCTCGACCATTACATTCTTGGCGACTGTGTGGTTTTACCCTGGTTGTGTAGTGGTTACATATTAGGCTAGGAACCTTCTGGTCAGCGCTTTGAAACCACCAGTCTCTCCTCAGAAGAAAGATGAGACTTTCTACTCCAGTAAAGAGTTACAGTCTCAGAAACCCAGAGGGGCCGTTCTGCCCTGTCCTGGGGAGTCACCATGAGTCAGAATGGACTCAAGGAGAGTGAGTGGTTTTGATTTTGATTTTATGTGATTGCACAGTGTGAGACCAAAACTGAATTTTTACTCACGTGGCTTGGCAGTGCCTCTCAATCCCGTAATCCCATCCCACGGCTCTTGTTAAATGACAACTCCGACTGAGTCAGGATGGATCCCCAGAGTCTGCAGAGCCATAGACTGCTGCTGTGAAGGCTTCCAGTCTCAGAGCCCTGTGGAGCAGGTGCGCGCTGTCGTGCGTGGTCAGCAGGGGTCCGAATAGACTCCACCGCAGCAGGGTGAGCAGCTCCCAGTGATTCTCCCACTACGGTCCACTGGCTGTACTAGGCACCCCAAACCCAAACCTGCTGCCACTCAGTCGATTCTGACTCATAGCCCTATGCTGTGTACAGTTTATGGGAGCAGATTGCCTCGTCTTTCTCCTGAAGAGCAGCTTGTGGGTTCAAACCTCTGACCTACAGTTAGTAGCCCAATGCTTACCCCACGGCGTTACCCAGGAGTCCAATAAGTAGCTTTCACATTGGCTGTTTCTTTGTTGTATGTTTTGTGTTTTTTAACTATCGAGACTTATGTCCCACCTGCAAGGTCTGGTATAGTTGGAATGAGAGACAGGCACAGGCCAGTGGCCTCAAAGTGTGGCCATCAGGTAGCCCCATCTGGGAAGTGATAGCAATGTACCTTATCAGCCCCTCCTGCCCACAGACCCACCAACACAAAATGATGAGGGGGCACCCAGCCACCTGGGGCTTAGCCCGGGGATTCTGAGAACTGTTTAAAGGTGAGGCCTTGGAGCACCATGGTGGTCCAGGTGGGGCTATACAAATGGAAGGCTATTTGGTGGTAGTGGTGGGAAGAGAGAACCAGAGAAGGCTAGTAAGTAAAGTTGCAGGGAGAGTGAGAGATTTCCTTCAGCTCCTTTATTTTTAATGCACGGTGAACAGGAAATCTCCTTTGCTAGGCAAGGTAATAACGCTTTGATGGGCAAAGACCTTACATTCCATGTCATTGACCTGATTCTACAGAAGTGATTGATCACTAGACCCACAAAGGAGTGTTTTCCTGGGCTATCTGCCAGGACCTATAAAGTAGGTGAGCCTTAAAGAACATTTCTTGGTAGCCTTTATTCTAATGGGATTTAACCTGTGCTAGATGAGTCCGCTCCTGTGTTCTGGAACTAAAGTTGGCCTCTGACCTTTAAATGCTGGTGCTTGGTTTCAACTGTTAAAAACAATTGCAGGCAGGACGGTAGGATCCACTCACAACAGTCCACAGTGTGCTTTCCACAATTTCTTGTAAGAGCTTTATGCCTTGTGAGGCAACGTCATTTTTATCATGCTATTTGCACCTGCTGGCCCGAATGCAAGGAACTTGGAGTAGAATATTGCTTAAAATTCTACAGAGGTAAATGAGAGAATCAAAAGCCTGCTGGGCTGGGGCCACACGTTAACATACAAAAGCAAGGGGAATCCTAGCTCTCGGTGACCAAAATCCAACTTCTTCCAACGAAGTGGAAAGCACTGATTCATGCATAAGTCCTGCCGTCCTTGACTTGTGAAACTCGGTGTCCTCTTCCTTCTGCAATAGGAGGCTGGCCAAGTCCACGCTGCTGCTCATCCCCTTGTTTGGGGTTCACTATATGGTGTTTGCCGTCTTTCCAATTGGCATCTCCTCCGAGTACCAGATCCTGTTTGAGCTGTGCCTGGGATCGTTCCAGGTATGCCTGTCAAGAGCTGGCCTGGGCCTGTCCCGCGGCTGGCTCTGCTCTCTGATGGCCCTCTCTTGTTTGCAGGGCCTGGTTGTGGCGGTGCTCTACTGCTTTCTCAACAGCGAAGTAAGTCCTTTGTCACCCTCGACCGTGAAGTGCATCTGTTACGTCTGTAACCCAGTTCCTGAAATGCATTACCTCATAAGCTACCCTCATTGGCATCAAAGGGAGCCCACCAGACCAGAGTCCAGGACGTAGAGGAAAGCTCTCTCATTGCTCTCCCTGTCTGGGCAGTGGATGGCCCTCTCTGCCCCAATCAGACTCCTTTCAAGCCAGACGCATTTCTCCTGCCACCATGTGGGCCCAACTTTCTGATCAGTGTCCCCATCCATTTACAGAAACCTGATCTCTTGTTTTGTTCTCTGTGCTCTGCAGGCTCAATTCCCCAGCTTTTCTGTAGATCCCTTTCTAGAGAGATCTCCTGCTCGGTCATTACAAAGGACCCTGGCACTCTTTATAATCACTAACTTGCTGCTTAACCCATGACTTCGTTTTTTTTTGACGTGGGAAGCTGTGTCAAAGGAGAAGGGAGTTAGCAAGTGCTGATGACAAACCCTTCTTGGACTTGTAATTCCCCAGGAATCTCAAGAACTAAATAAGCCAAGTCCCCAAGATCAAGGTTTTGGATTACTGCTTTGTTCTGTTTTATACTCAGCATGCTCCAAAATGTGCTCGTTGTCCATTTTGTTAAAACTACCAGAGTTCGTCCAAGCTCAAGGTGACCCCAAGGGTGTCAGAGGAGAACTGGGCTCTTAGGAGTTGTCAGTGGCTGATTTTTTAGAAGATCACCAAGCCTTCCTTTTGAGGCAGCGCTGGGTGGGTGTGACGAACCAACCTTGCAGGTGGTAACTGAACCCTTAACCATTTGCACCACCTAAACAGCCTATAGCCATCACTTTGTCTGAGGTGTGGTTACCTTTTCCAAACCTCAGTAACACTACCCTTTGGTAAACCTCTAGCTTGTAATGATCTACTGGTCTACCAGTATGAAATGCTTTTACTCAAGCTATCTTCTCTCCTTTACTTCATTTTAATTTTGAATGGAGTCTCAAATGCCATTCCCAACCCAACATTAGTAACAGGAAATTTCAAACCCAGAAAAATCACCAGCTGAGTGTGGTTTAATCATCACTTCTCTCGGAGATTCTTACTGTGAGGGATAGAAAAGGAGAATGCAGCTGGACATCCCTAGACCTGCAGCAGGGAATGTGGGACCTGTTCTGAACCAGGACTGTAGCCTGTGACTGGACTGGGGATGTCCACTCTGCACTCACACCCCAAGACTCTCCTATTCCCAAGTACCTCTCCCACACCTCAGCTACTGTGACATCCTTGATTGAAGGAACCTGCACGTATATTTTGTCCCCTACTGTTGGCTTTAAATCTTTAATGCACCCTCCCCAGCCTCCAATCTGCCAGGATTAGCTTTTTCTTGCCTCAGTATGTAAGATTCACTAACATATTTTGGGTAGAGCGGAGCCAGTCCACTGTTCTTTGCCCTGCTTTCTCATAGTGGTAGGAGCTCCTACACTTACCTCTCCTCAATCATTCTAAACTTTACGGGGAATGCCCCTGCTTTGGAGCCTGGTGGTGCTGTCAGGTGAGGGTTGGACTGCTAACCACAAGGTAGGTAGTTCAAACTCACTAGCCACTCTGAAAGAGTACGATGATGCGGTCTGCCCCCATAAAGACTTACAGCCTCAGAAACCCTGTATAGGGTTGCTATGCAGCTGAGTTAATGAGATACCGGGGTGGGTGGGACCCCTGTTTAATCTGCAGCAAGAAAGCAATTGGAGCCAAGTTCTTCTAAAGCACAGTCCATTCACCTCCAGCTTCTAGGGACACCTTTTTCTGAACATATAAATTAGCTACCGCAAACTCTTGGTATCTAAGCTTCTGTATTGTCATTACCCATTCCTTAGTGAGGTTTCCCCATGTGGGGGGGGGTCTCTCGTTTCTGATCCCTATTGCCCTCTTCTCCAACACTGCCGTCTTTACTAGCCATCTGATTGGGGTGTAGAGAGAAGTCGGCCCCAGCTTCTGTGTCCACTAATGGACAGAAGGGGAAAACGAATAACTTATTCGATAGTGGTGGTCACCCACTGATGCCCTCACTTCTAGCATTGCTTTTACTCTGTCTCCCTTACCACCTCCAGGTGCAGTGTGAGCTGAAAAGGAAATGGCGAAATTTATGTCCCAACCGGTCCATGAGCCGGGATTACAGGCTCCATACCTCTTCCATCTCTCGAAATGGCTCGGAGAGTGCCCTGCAGTTCCACCGGAATTCTCGCGCCCAGTCGTTCCTGCAGACGGAGACCTCGGTCATCTAGCCAACGCCCACCTGCTCCGTCTAGCAGACAAACTCAGTGAAAGACTATACAAAGTCTACGCGGCCAGATGTGGCGGGCGTTCCCTAAAATGTGCAATGTGTGCTTGCTGTCTCCTGTGCCACATGTTAAGAATGCGTTTGGTTGGGTCAATCAGCGTTGTCTCAGTGTAGTACAGCTGATCATTAACACATCCTCGTGTGGAACCTGGGTTCCCTTGTCATTTACTCGGATTCCAATGCTAATAACTGTTAGACTCCAGCATTTAGGTAACTTTGTTCACAAGGCACTTAAGATTGCCAGCCTGTTTCCAAGAAGAGGGGAGAGCAAAGTGGGCCCTGAAACATCAGAACAAAATGAACAACCCACAGTGTGTGACCCAACTACTGCCAAAGGAGGGGGAAACAACTAAGGGCGTTTCCTAGGCGCGCTGGTGATGTCCCGGTTACACACTGGGCTGTGTGCTACTTGGTCAGCAGTTCAAAGTACCAGCAGCTCCTCGGGAAAAAGACTGAGCTTTCTCCTTCCATCAACAGTTACGGTCTCAGCAACCCACAGGGGTCCCGAGTAGCCCGACTGTGAGGAAGGGTATTTTCTGACCTCGGGGCCTCCTCTTGTAAAGCTGTCTTTTCTGTTAGTGAAAAGCAAACACTCGGGGCGGAAGCACTAAGCCCTGAGGTTGCCCTGGTGCCCATTTTGACTCCTGGCAACCTTCTGTGTCGGAGGAGAACTGTGCTCCACAGAGTTTCATTGGCTGACTTTCTGAAGTAGGTCACCAGACCTTTCATGTGAGCTCCCTCTCGGTGGACTTGAATCTCCAGCCTTTTGGTTAGCAGCTGAGAACGGTAACCACTGCACTACCTAGGAGCTCGGGACCCGAAGGTCTTAGAACAGCGGTTCTCAACCTGTGGGTCACGACCCCTTTGTGGGTCGAACGACCCTCTCACAGGGGTCTCCTGATTCATAACAGTAGCAAAATTACAGTGATGAAGTAGCAACGGAAATAATTTTATGGCTGGGGGTGAGGGGGTCACCACAACATGAACTGTATTAAAGGGTCAGGGCATTAGGGAGGTTGAGAACCACTGTCTTAAAAGGAAAAGGTAGACTATGTATAATCTCTGTTTTTCTTTCTGGGTCCTAAAGTACTTACATAGAAACTGAGTTAGGAACTTCATTCACACTAACATTCAAGTAAATACGAGCCAAGGTGAGCCAGCTAAATTCCAGAGGAGAGCAGGCCTTTCAGTTAACAACAGAGCATGTTGATCCCCTTTGCACGACCCAGGGACTCCTCCGGTGGTCATCACATCACGTCACTCACCACCACCAAGTCAATCCTGCCTCACACCAACCCTCGGGAAGAGTAGAACTGCTACTGTGGGTTTCCGAAGCTGTCATTCTGAGTGCAGAAATCCTCATCTTTCTTCCTAGGGACAGGTAGGGGATTTGAACCTCTGATCTTGTGGTTAGCAGTCAGTTCAATGGGTAACCCACGACGACACCAAGGCTCCTTGGGGTCCTTACAGCAAGGTGTATAGCAAGAAATAGTCATATGTTAGTCAACTCGTGGGCTTTTGCCTTTTTTTTCAGGACCAGTGGTGTGAGTGGTGATACTGAGAGTGTAGAGGGAGAGTGGGTTGGAAAGGGGGAACCGATTACAAGGATCTACATGTGACCTCCTCCCTAGGGGACGGACAACAGAAAAGTGCATGAAGGGAGACGTCGGACAGGGCAAGATATGATGAAATAACAATTTATAAATTATCAAGGGCTCATGAGGGAGGGGAAAAATGAGGACCTAATGCCGGGGGTTTAAGTGGAGAGGAAATGTTTTGAGAATGATGAGGGCAATGAATGTACAAATATGCTTTACACAATTGATGTAAGTATGGGTTGTGATAAGAGCTGTATGAGCCCCTAATAAAAGTATTAAAAAAATAAGAAGAGCCCCTCAGCCAGTGAACAGATGTGTCCTGGGCCAGCCGCAGGCAGGAGCCCTGGAGACACGAGGGTGAGGCACTCAGCTGCCAGCCCAGAGGCTGACAGGTGGACCCCACCCAGCAGTTCCCTGGAAGGAAGGCCTGCAGATCTGCCCCACAGAGATCAAGTACAGCCTGGGAAACCTGCTACTGTGTTCTACTCTATCACGTGGGGTCCCCAGGTCAAAATCAACTCAGCGGCGCCTAACAACCACTATGCTGCTGACAAGACTTTTTATGTGCAAGGAAGTCTTTCAGCACCTCTCAAACTCTACCACAGCACGTTTCTGAGATCATCGGTTCTGCCTGTGGACGAGCCACTGGACTTGTGTCTGTGCAAACACATTCTCTTTTTAATTAAAATAATCCTGAAGTATTTTCTATTTACGTGGAGAATTATTTAAACAACATATAAATATTCCAGCCGCTCGTATCCAGTATTGGCAAACAGCAGGCCTCGCTTTCAGTTCCTTGATTATCTGGGAAGAGTCACCAAACTGGCAACAGATGAGAAGTTGTGAGAATGCCAGGAGGCAGGAGCCAAGGACTGCAGGGGTGTCCAGATGGTGGCTGAACCTCGGTCTCCATTTCCTGTGCCCATATCCCTTTTCCATTAACCCCTCCTTAGCAGCCCACAAGGATCGTTGGCTTGGTGTTGGGCTGCTAACCACATGGTCACCAGTTCAAGTCTACCAGCTGCTCAGAGAGAGAAAGATGAGGCTGTCCATTCCCATAAAGACTTACAGTCTCAGAAACCCCACATAGGGTCGTTAAGGAGACAATCAACTCGATGGCAGTGGGTTTATAACCACCCAGGTGTTATATTGTTGAATTACATGGAGTTGGTCTGCTATTCGTGAGGACCCCTATGCACCATGGAAGGAAATGATTCCCTGTCCACCTCCATGTGCATGATCAGTTACAGAGTAGACTGTTGTAATCAGCAGAGCTTTCATTGGCTGGTGCGTAAAAGTCGATCATCAGGCCTTTCTTGTAGTCAATCTTAGTCTGGAAGTTCCACTGCAAGCTATCCAGCACTGTAGTGACTCACAGGCCTCCACTGACAGGTAGTAATTACATATGAAGTGCATGGTCTGAGACTCAACCCCAGGTCACTCACATGGAAGATGAGAAATCTATTAAATCACCAGTGCCCCCATGCAACAGCCCCAATAGCCTTCAGTGAAATTCTGCCTCACGTGTAGAGCGCCTCTCTTGCCGAACTACATTTTTCTGAGCACATTTGCCTCTTCCTAAAATGAGGGCCATAAAGTACTTTGTCTGTAGTGTTTATGGCACAGTAGGCCCTTTCTAGACTCCAGATGCAGGTTATCAGTGTGACTGATGTTGAGTTTACAGGACCATATGGGCAATGGGCAGGCAGAACTTGGGGTCCAGAAGTCTCCAACTGTAAAAAGCTGCCACTCACCATATCAGTGTTACTTTGGGTAGAAAACTCACATTCCCGGTAAATAAGACCGGACAAAAGGGATCATTATGATAGCAAAACAGCAGTGTTTTCAGGGATTAACTTCAGCCACCGGTAGCCAAGGATTTCCATTTAATAAAATTTTCTATCACCAGGCCAGCATATACAGCTACCCTGGCACAACCCTTGGACCATGGCCTGGTCTTGATTGGGTATCAAATGCAATTTGTTACCCTGCCATGGAACTCTCTATTAACTTGAGAACTAATTATAGAGAATGGGTCCCTAAGTCTTTCTGAATTCATTGGCAGGGTTGGGTAGTTGTGAATGGACTTAGGAAACTTACTAGTTCACCGCACTCCTGTAGCTGCAGAAACTTATTTAGGCAACTGATGTGTCAGCAACCTGGCCAGAAAATTCAGGGTGACAGACCCAGGCACGGGACCTCCATGCCCCCCTCTTGCCAACTGAATGATCATGAAGCATGCCTGATGGGGGCAGTGATATGAAATAAGAGGAGAGTGGATGTGTAGTCAGTCCCTGAGTGCTGAAAATGTTGAACATCTTCAGCTGCTAGCCAAAAGATTGGAGGTTCAGGGCCTCCCGGCACCTCAACAGAAAAGCCTGAGATCTACTTCCGGAACATCAGTCATTGAAAGCCATATGGAGCCCAGTTCTCCTTGGACACTCATGGGATTGCTGTGAGCCAGAGTCAACTCAATGGCAACTGGGATTGGAGTCAAACAACACAAGTTTTAGTTCTCAGCTGCCTTCTTTCCTAAGAAACCTTGAGCAAACCAATTCACTTCCTGAGCTTCAGCCTCCCTTTCTTATAAAGAGGATAAAATGTGTCCTTCCAGCTCTGAAGTTTTGGGAAGAAACAATACTATGTAACAATGGGAAGTGTTAGGCAAACCTTAAGGTGCTACTATGATAATAAATAATGGCAGGATGTGCAGAGGGGGTAGAAAGTGGGGAGGCCTGATCCAGGATATGCCTGGAGAGAGAACCAAGGAGGGGAAACTCAGTCAAATTCTGCCCATGTAAAGATATGTCAAAGCCAAACAGAGCCACGAGCTATTTCATCTTGCCTGGTAAAGGGGAAAAGGACAGTTGTGAAATGAAAATGTATAGATTTGAGTAATAGAGGAGTAGGTGGTCAATTAGCATGTTTTGTTTTAAAATGTATGTAAATATATATGGAATGTCACCTATAGCATATTCCACCATGTAATGAGCAATGCCCTATGTAAATACTTCCAATAAAATCTAATTTCTTATCTGTAAACTGAGTTAGAATTCTCTGACCAACAAATCTAGAGATCTTACAACATAAGGTGATAGTCAAGCTTGGTTAGCTTGTACTATTTTCATGAAATATTCTTATTGTCAGTTGCCATCAAGTCAGTTCTGACTCATGGTGACCGTACATAAAACAGAACAAAACATTGCCGAATCTGTGTTATCTTCAAGATTGTTGATATGTTTGAGGTCATTGAGTTAGTCCATCTCAGTGAAGGTTTCCCTCATTTTTGCTCTCTACCAAGCATGATGTCCTTTTCTACAGATTGGTCTTTCCTAATGATGGGTACAGAGTAAATGAGCCGAAGTTTCACTATATCTGATTCTAGGGAGGCTCTGGTTCTAAGAAAGTTAAGTAAAAAAAATACTGCTTTTTTCTAGTAGGGTTTCGGTTCCTACTTGCACGAGTTTATTCCACACAAAACACGTTTAATTAATATTATCTGTGATTAGTGGATGACTACAGATAAGTTCTATCAGTAACATTGCCGAA